TGGATAAATTATGCAAAAATGAAAATAACACTGGCATATCATTTTAACAGATATATTTACCAAAATTACACAAAATATCTTGAAATACTAATGCGTAAATTTATTCAATAAAATCACCATTGGCTTCAATGACAGCCTCCAGTAAGAATGTAGTAAGGAAAAACAAAATGTAGACACAAAACATATTGTATTAATTATACAAACATATCAATATTGATATACTTATATTAGCAACCTCCCTGTGTGTGTGTGTGTATATATATATATATATATATATATATATATATATATATATATATATATATATGTATGTATAACAGCCATAGCTGTTGCTTTGCAATGCACATCACATACATTTGGTGTCTCTTACCTGTCAAATCAGTTCAAAAATGAAATTGGTTTTGTCAGTTTTCTTAATTTTTATGTGTTAATCTTTTAGTGATAACTGACCTTTTAATTAAAAACCAATTGTGTGCCCAGTTTTATAGCCTGGGCATGTTGTTAGTGCTGACTAAGGCTAATACTGATTATTGCTAGAAAATTTTGGAAACAATGTATATTAAGTCCTACCAGCCATCACTCTGTAAGCAGAAGGAGTGGTTGGTGGACTTATAATTAGTCTTTAATATTATATATATATATATATATATATATATATATATATATATATATATATATATATATATATATATATATATCTTATTTTGCATATAATTATTAGTCTGTGGTTATACAGATTTTAGTCTCTGTGCACATTGTTTTCCTAACCAGTAATAAGGAGTGCCAGAGAAAAGCGATATTGACTATAAAGATTGCACTATGAGATCTGGTAAAAACATTCTATGATAACAGCAAAAAATTGCAGTATGAGCACTGGTAAAAAATAGTGTTGAAGACATTAGGTTTATAATACCTAGAAATTCATACACAGACAGATGTCCTCAAAGACACATGGCACAGTGGATAAAGGCATTGTTTAGATCCAGTGACAGGACCCAAAGAGTGTGAGTTCAATACCCGGTTAAGGCAATGGAGAGGAGAATTAACAGGAGATGACTGATAACTGACATCTAGTCTACCCCAGTGAGCGAAATAAAGGGTTCAGTTTGACCACCTGAAGAAAGCTGGAGTGTACAATGGCTGAAACGTTGTAATAAATATGGCGACAAAGATGAGGACAATAGTCTAAATAATGTAAATAGAGTACAATCTTTATTTTTTTAAAATTACAGAGAAAACATTAAACTAAGTGCACAAAAAGAAATTATCATATTTTATGATATGAAACTCCCTCAGCAGATAGTTTTGTTGTTTTTTTGTTTGTCATGACCTTCACCTTTGAAAATTATAATATGGTAAATACTAAAAATAGTATAAATTGTCAGTCTGGAGCTACTGTTACTGAAAGGAAAGGCCTTTAGTGTGATATCAGTTTGCAATTCCATTCTAAAAAGAACTTTTTTCCTGGAGGGCCATGCTTGCATTAAAGGGATGTTGCAAATTAAAGCTATGTTATAGTTCTGAAACAATTGATTGGACTATGTCATTCAGTTATTGTTAATTTATTGTTCGTTCTGAAGATCTGTTGTTTGATAATTTAATGTCTATCATTGATTTTCCAGCTGAATTTCATTAAGAAAATATATGAATTGTTAAAACTATTGAATTAATTCCAATATCATATGTTAAAACTTTCGTTTTTTCCTATTCTGTATATCAGTGACTGCATTTTTTCCATAAATTCTGAAAACCCTTTCCATTTATTACTGTACTATCGCATTTGATCTAAGTAATAGTGTATAATGTAAGTAATAATAATTATTATTATCATAACTTGTATTGAAAATACTAATTAAAATATATGTAATTAATAATAATAATAGGGCTTCCAAAGAAGGTGCTGTATGGACAACTACTAAACTCCAAGCATTCAGTTGGACATCCACTCTTACACTACAAATTGAAAGACAACTTAAAACATCTCAACTTTGATCTGAAAACCTGGGAAGCCCAATCATCAAACTGAAAGGAGAGGCATAAGACATGTTTCATTAAATTAAAGGGTTTTGAAGACGGTAGACTGAAGCACAGTAATCAGCTTTGTCAAGCTCTGAAGCAGAGATGCCATCAAAATCCTGCTTTAACAAATTTCATTTGTCAGTGTGGCTTTGTTGCCTGCAGCAAGGCTGGGCTAGAAGCACACTTAAGAAAGCCCAAATGAAATATGACTTTCCCTTACCTGATTTTCTCCACAACAGCCCTAGCTAGCATGCATAAGTGTAAAACAAAAGGCACCATCCAATGCTGACCCTCATTTATTGTTCATGATAGAAGAGTCCACCAATTGATAATATCATTACCTCATCATTTTGTATCATGAACTGCTTTTAAAATGAAGTCAACATATTTATGGGTGGTCTAGTTTTATTTTAAAGTAACTAAAAAGTAAGAAACAAATATTAATTTAATAAAAGTGGGTAATATTAGAATAATATTCTACAATTTATGGAGATTATGTTCATGCGTTATTGCTTTTATCATAAAAATTAACTTATTTGGGAGCATATATTACTCTTTTTTTTCATATGCCAAAAATGTTTAAAAAATGTGTCCCATGTCTTTTTCTTTTTAATCATTTCACTCTAAATAATGATAATACCACTAAAATGCAAGTAGTTCTAATTATAAGTATCCTTTTTGTTTTCATTTTCCTTAAAACTTCCTCATTGCCCAAATATTCCATTCATATTATTCTCATTATCCTTCTGAAGAACCACATTTCTCTTGCCTCAAATTGTCTAATCTAAGAAAATTTTAAAACATTCACTGCCATATAGTAGGGTTGCTATTACATAGTAGTTTAACATTCTTTTCTTTGTTTCTAACAAAATCTTTCTATTTCATAATACATTGTTTAGCTTTTGAAAGCCATCTTTTGTTGTTGCACTGCACCTTCAGTTATTGCCTATTCTAACATTTACCTGGTCTAAATAGAAAGTTTAATATTGCCATGATATAAACCAGCAGGAAATACAAGACTAAACATCTTATGTATAAAATTACTGATTAATCACATATTTCATCATTTATGTGCCATGTGTGATACATGCTTAGGCAATCATGTTTCTTTCGACAAAGCAGATTTTTTTTTCGCGCAGTAGGTTGTCATTTCTTTCTGCTGTAGACCAGTTGCCATCCAAGGCTAAAGAACCCAGTCTGTCCTGCTATTTACCCATAGCTTGGGGGAGAAGAAGAGCATTCATACCTTTCTCAAGTGTATTAGCATGTAAGTGAAAGTAATGGATTAAACTGGAGTTTGAACTCAGCTCCCCAATTCCTCAATCTAAGCCAGTATCCTTTACACCACCATGCCTCCCCATCAGTTAATATCAGTAAATAAGTGTGTTTTCTCCAAACAGGGATTCTTCTTCTTGCAAGAATGTAAGAGACTCTTCTTTTTCTCCTCTCAGGTAGGTACTTATATATTTATCTTGTTTCACATGTGCACATCATCGGCAAAGTCGGATCAACCATGCAATTATATGTTTGTGATGTAGAACAATCATGTTGTCAAGATAAACACTCAGTTGTGGAACAAGCTGAGAAAACACCCCTCTACCTTGAGAAAGAGAGCTATTTATGGTTCCATGTAGCATCTCATTGTGCTCAAGTGGGATAGTCCATTGCTTGGGCTGTGATTGGCTGCTGGTACATGAGTGGAGGTATTTCTGTATAAATACCAGCTTGATTCCAGTCAGTTTGCAGGGTTTGTATTGAGTTACAACCTGCTTTATTTTTGTCTGCCAGCTGGATGCTAGCTGGGACACTTACGCCAGTAAGTGTTGTTATTCTATTGTTATTCTACATGTGGCAGCCAATGACATTGAGGCATGGATCTGTAACTGGCAGCTAGGATGCCATCTCTCAGATCAACCCACTGATACACATAGCTTCTCTGATATATACTGAGTTCAAACACAATTTTTGGTATCATTCAGGACAAGTAACATACTACAGGAAAGATCTTATATGCTATCAAATATTGTAACTCAAAGCATCATATATCAGGGCCTAAGACAATTTCAGATAACCTTGCTAGTTACAAATAAACATCTTTATAATACATTTTAGATGCAAAGAATTTTTTTATGTGCATCTCTTACATGAATAAAGAGTGATTATTTCTGGTAAAAATTCAGTTTGCTCCAGGATGACAAACTATCAAAATATGGCACTAAATAACAAAAGATATATCATTTCAAAATCCATAATTAATATTTTTATCGCAGAGAAAACTTGCAAATAGCCACATGATGTATGCAAATTGACAACTGGTTTTGCATGTAAAGAAATATCGAAGACAAGAAAGACAGTGAAGGGAATAAAAGATTATAGAAAGAATGAAAAGTTTATACCAAGAACATTGATAAAGGAGTGAGAGAAAATCAAGATAGGATTAGAAAAGGATTAAGGAAATTGGGAAAGATAGAAAAAGATGAAGATAAAAGAGGAAGAGAAGAATGGAGAGAAAGAGAAAGGAGAGAAAAAAAGAAAAAAAGGGAAAAAGGAAAATATAAAAGAACATCAGCAGAAAGAAGAGGAAAAGAGAGAGAGAGAGAGCAAAGAAGAGAATAATGAGAAAAAAAGAAGCAGAAAAAGAAGAAGGAAAACATGTAGGTAGAGAGGAGAAGGAGGACATAAAGGAGAAGAAAGAAAAGAAGATATAAAACAGATTTTGAGGAAGAGAAACATTAGAAAAAGTACAATAAAAACAGTAAAGATAAAGAAAAGAGCAGGGAAGGAAGGAGAGAAAAGAAAGAAGAAAGGAAAATATGAAGATGAGGGAAAAGTAGAAGGATATGAACAGAAAGAAGAGGAAAATAACAGAGAGAGAGCAAAGAAGAGAAAGAGTCAGAAAAAGAAGAGGGGAAAACATAAAGCTAGAGAGAATGGAGAAGGAAGAAAAGAAGAAATAAAAGAGATTTTGAGGAAGAGAAACATCAGAAAGAGTAAAGATAAAAAAAAAAGACAGGGAAGTAAGAAGAAAAGAGAGAAAAGAAAGAAAAGTGATGAAGAAAAATGGCAATAAAAAGAAAAGAGCACAAAGAGAATGGAGGAGGGAGAAATGAAGAATTAATTATTAAGAAGAAGATGAAGATTAGCCAAAAATGAAAATGATGAATAATGATGCAAAGAACTGGAAAATAGAAAATATTTGTTGAAAAAGAAGACAATTATAAAATGAAGAAGGAAGAAGAAGAAATTATGAAAGAGAAAATGAGGCAAAAAAGAAGAGCATGGAGGTAAAGGGGGGAAAAAGCAGAAGTTACTGTTCGAAAAAAAGGAAAAAAGATAAAGAGAAAAAAAAAGAAAAAAGACAAAGCTAGGAAAAAGAAAGTAAGAGGTGAAGTAGAAATACTATAGTAATAGTTGAAGGATTAGAGAAAGAAGATGAAAAAGAAGGAATAAAGAAAAGCTCAGATAAAAAAAAAAAAACACTAAAAAGAAAAGAAAGAAATGATAAAAAAAATATTATAGCACTAGTAGCAATAGTTATTATTTTATTAGACTTTTATCAAGATACCATCTCTCTTTAGGATGTATTTTTTAATCATTTCACCCCAAGCAAGACAATAAAATCATTAAGATGCAAGGAGTTACTGAGTGTGGGAGAATAAAAAAAAAAACATTATTAAAGAGAGAGGACAATAAAAGAACAGGTATTGAGAAGACAGAACATAACTGACATTGGATTTAAATTTTTGAAGATCAAACTTGACTGGAAAGAAAGAATCTATAAGAGAGTTCCACAAGTGAGAAGTGTGATAGAACAAATTCTGAACATAGAACTTATGTTTATATCTAGCCATTTCAATTGTAAAATGAAGAGACCTTGTCACCAAGCTAGTTCTTCTTTATCATCTTCTTCAGGACGTAGGTGAAGATGTCCCTCCACATCTTCCTGTCCCTTGTAGCTCTCAATAAATGTTGTCTTTTTTGCTATTTCATCCAAACCCTGTTCTACCAACCATTTACTCAAGCCCATCAACTATGTTACATGCTCCATCCCTCAATCTGTCCTGTGAGTATCAGATTTTCCAAGCCCTCCATTTTCTCTAAAAGCTCACCATTGCTTACATCTTATGTCTATGGTATCTTCAGCATCTTTCTGTAGAACCACATATCTGTTCCTTCAAGTCTCTTCTTCGTCTGTGAGTAGATTGTCCAGCATTCACTGCCATACAGGAGCACGGATATCATGTAACAGTTCAGTACTCTTTTTTGTTTATAATGAAGTTTTTCTGTCTCTTAATACTCTGCTTGGCTTTTGAAATGCATCCCAATGCGTCTTCAGATCTCAATGTTTCACTTTGTCCTCTTTTTGGTAATAGCCATGCATTCTGTCTTCTTAGTACTGCACTTAAATTTGTAAGGTCTAGATGCCAAAGAGGAAAGCTCATGAGAACAATTACCATGAAAATATTTATAGAAGAAGCAAAAGGAAGATATGTTACCATGGTGGGAAAGTGACTGAAGCCAAGACACCAGGTTCAAACTAATAACATTGCAGATCCTTTTTTGGATTTTATCAAGAATTTCTAAGTACATAACAGAAGCACCAGACCATATAGGCAATTATGGCTCTCCATGGGCTGTGCAATTAGTAAATATGGAACGGTTCAAATACCTAGTATATGAATCTGTTACTTTAGTATGGGAAATTGAACAGACTGGGTTACATGTAGTTTTACCCAACACAGCAATTGCTATACAACCTAACTTAAAAGCTAAAGTTTTGTTATCAAATAGCTATTAAGCCAAAACATTAATCTGAAAACTCGTGTCATGTTCTTAAATAGCTCATCAGATCAAGACATTTACATGAATATCATGCATGGCAATAAACTCATTCAAAAATATCTAGACTGTCAGCTGTATACAATCGATCTCTTAAATTAAGATGAATAAATGAAGCCTGTAGATCTTAGCAAGGACCATCCATCTTCGAACCTTATAGATTTATGCCACAGAATCATAAGCAAAGAACTGTCCCAAATAGCAGAAATCCCATCACTTGAGGATTTTCAATAGCGGCAACAACTAAAATGGATAGCACATTTTATTCCTTTTGTTTCATGTCAGATAAAACTTCTAGATGAATAATTTTTCAATCACCTCCCCGGCGTTATTCAAACCACCTGGTTAATTAATTTTACATCTTTTGATCCTTTAAATGATTTTTCAATGACACCCTTTATTAAGACTGACCCATTTACAGCTTTACTGAGAAAAAATTCCGACTCCTTCAATTCATCTTTGGCACATAAGAATAAGGAAAGGTATATGAGGAGGTGAAGTAGGAAATATTGTTGCATCGATAGTAGTTTTATTAAACAAAAAGACATAAAAAAAGAAAACAAATGAACAAAGATTGCAAAGCCGAAAAGGATTCGGTAGCTGCATTCCTAAAATCAAAAAATGTTGATTGTTATTCTGATGGTTATAACTGATTAGCTGAATGTTACGTGGCCAGCAATAGTGAAAAGGTTAATCAGGGTTCAAATCAATCTACAGTGAAAGGAGAAAAAAAAAGGGAGAGAATGAGAAGTAAAGGAAATAGAATGCCAACAGAGGTTAAGGCTAACAAAGAAAAAGGAAAAGAAAGAAATAAAAAGAATATGCCTGAGAGAGAGAATAGGGAACAATTTGAAGGAAATGTACAGGGAGGGGAGAGTGTGAAAGAACTGTGAGAAAGTGGAGAAAATAAAAGGAAAGAACACTGTGGAAAAAAGAGTGGAAGAAAAACTAAGCAACCAAGGAAAAGAAAGAGAAAGAGAAAGAGAGAGAGAGAGAGAGAGAGGGTATAGATTTGAAGGGAGAGAGCAGGGATAGGAAAGTGAAAAAGGACAGACAGAGGAGGAAAATGGAAAAGAAAGAACATGGTACAAAAGAATGGAAGAAAAATTAAGCAACTGAGGAAAGCAATGAGAGAGAGAGAGAAAGAGAAGGACTAAAGATTTATAGGAAGAGAGCCGGGATAGAAGAGTGAAAAAGAACTGATAAAGAGAGGGAAAAGTGACTGAAGCCAAGATGCCAGGTCAGGATCAATAACATTGCAGATTGTTCTTTGGATTTTATCTAGAATCTCTAAATATATAGCAACAGCATCAGACCAGATGTGGCAACAGTATTTCTGAACAAGTAAATATTCTCTGATTAAGAATGGAGGTTCATAATTATTATTGTTCTCATTTCAGTGACCATATATAGTAATAGTAATATTAGATATTTCCTTATAAGGAAACATTTAGTATTCATTGCCCGAGCAGTTAGGGTTGGACTTTTCTTTACTTCACAGCCATTAGGCTCGGATCAAAAAGTAATCTCTGCCTCTTCAAGCAGACAAACCATTTTATCTCCCAATTCTGTTTCTTTCATTTGACAGAACAAAAAATGAGTGGTATTTGGTACTTGGGATTCAAATCCTGTGGCATCACCTCCTTCTATTGTACCAAAGAGGGAGGGTCAGTGGAATATCGCTGCCAGAGTTGTAGGGGACTGGACAATTTTTGGACTTGGCCCAAGTATAAACATTTGGGCTCCCCACTTTAAACTCGCCTTGGGGTGGGGGAGTAAATACCAAGTGTAGTATTTGTCTTCAGTCGAACAAAACTTCATTTTATCTCTCAATTGTGTTTCTTTCTTCATAGAGAACACAATAAATAAAGAATTTTTCCAACATTCTTATATTTTTTTTTAACTTGGTAAGAAAAAAATGGTTAAAGAAATGACCAAAAGTGCTTGGGGTAATGGACAATTTTGCACTCACACCCACCAAATGAAAAAAATGTAAGAATTTTGGAAAAACTAAATCGAAAATTAAATTTTGCTTCTCTGTCATATTCAACAAAACACATTTGAAAGAAAGGTTGCTGCCATACACACACACACATATAAATGTATGTATGCTATATGATATAACGGTATATAATTTTGTGTAATTTTACATATGAGCAAACAGTATTTAGAAAAATATGACAAACTGGAAAGGTTTTTTTTTATCCGTTTTGTACATTAGGATTTCATTGGAAAGCACCAACAAACAAAGCCCAGTCTGATGAAATCTTAGCAGATGAAACATATCACAAAATTCTTTCCAGTTTGTTAGATTTTTCTAAATTATATATATAGTCTCTCTCTCCGTCTCAACTCTCTTTCTCCCTCTTGATATATATGTGTGTGCGTGTGCGTGTATATATATATATATATATATATATATATACACACACACATAGTGGCTGTCTTCTCAGTTTCGAGCGTGACCACCTCCTTTATTTCATGTCTTCACCCCCCTCCCACTTCCCTCAAATTCTATGTATTTGCAGGTGACTCTTCAGGCCAGCCAAACTGCGACAAATTTTGCCCCAGAATTGGCATACCCAATCAGTTTTGATTACAGTGACATTATTCGGTTGCACACTAGGTTTTGCATATTTACGCAAATGGCTTTTGAAGCTGGCGAAAGATAGGCACAATTTTCCGCATATGTCACAATTAACGTCGTGAATTTGTGGACACAGTGCTGGACCCTGTTCACCTTTACGAATCAGATGTTTGTAGGTACTGTACTGCATATGGCTATTCTCAAAGGACTCAATGCTTTCTGCTATATATATATATATATATATATATATATATATAGTCTCTCTCTCTCCGTCTCAACTCTTTCTCTCTCTTGATAGATATATGTGTGTGTGTATATATATATATATATATATATATAGTTTCTCTCTTCGTCTCAACTCTCTTTCTCTCTCTTGATATATATATGTGTGTGTGTGTGTGTGTGTATATATATATATATATAGAAAGAGAGGGAGGGAGGGAGAAACTATATTAGATAAGTGTACCTTCCAGCTGTCTTTAGATGTCTATTTACCTAAGAAATATCATGTATATATTGCGTTATTTGATGATGGCACCTGTAATACTGTTTTTAGTACTGTTGTGGCTGGCACAACACAAAATGAGAAGAACCAGATTCATAGAAATTAAGGTTGAAGAGATTACATCTAATAACGAAATGCAGATTTTATTTTATATATAATACAATATATTTTAGAACAATAGGGATGATGTTTAAAACAACATAAGTTAGGAAATGCTAACAAATTACTAAGTCTTCAAGAAAGTAGTTGGCTTAATGTGTAAGTAAACAAGCAAATGGGAGAGAAAATCCACTGTAGTTAAAATTAAGGTGATGGATGGGAATTCATTGCTAGTTCAAGAATTATATTATTTTCTTCTTAAAAATAGTTTGATTAATTCACATATATATAAAATAAAAGTGTTTGGTCAATAATATCAAGGAAATAGGTGAAGTATTTACTGATAGTTTTTTCTTTTTGAGGACTGTAGGAATTTAGGTTCTTTCGGTCGAAACTTGAATGAAAAGAACCAGAGTTGACCTCAATAGTTGTGGCTGTGAGTTCAGGAGGCAGCTGGCTAGTTGGTATGAACTCCTGTTTATATGTTTTTTGGACACTCTAGAATCCAGTAGAAGTTTCTAGAAACTTCTAGAAAGTCCCATTCTATTATTACAAAATCTAAAGTGTTTGGTGAATGGGAGCTTTTCGTATGGTAAAAAAGGCATCTAGTAGCTACAGATTTAAGTCATCAAGTTAGATTTTGTATTTTATAGTATTTTGTAAAGAAGTAGGACAAAATGGGGCCACGTAACAGTATACACTTTCTGAACTAGAGTATATGTATTTTCACTGCCTGATCCAGGTATTGAACTTACAACTAGTATAACCAAACTTAATATCCATTTAGCCAGTGTGGGTGTATTTATGGAACCTTTTAAAGTCCTTTTAAGTCCAATATCAGGTGTTCTTGACAGTTATTATCACATCAGCATTGTACAGTTTTCAAAGTTTCTGCCTGGTTTTTGAGATGAACAATTGTCATTATTAACTTTGAATAAATCAATATAATATAAAGGCAATTTTTCATCGCTGAATTCTGACAGAAATTGGAATGGAGGCTATCCCAAAAGCCAGGAATAAGTCAGACTGAATGACTGCTATAAATATCTTACTTGATAACATTCCAAGTATATTTGTAGATTTTCTGTCTGTAATGGTGTAACTTTTCATGTTACCAATGTGAATGAGATTCATTTATCTCCCTTACACTGGCACTGCCAGACGGCAGTGTCTCTCTTCAAACAAAACTGGGAACTACTCCAAAATGATTACAAATCTGGTGGTGGTGGTGGTGGGGGGTAAAAGAAATAAACCTTCTCCATGAAATATTAGGAAATGGAAAAAATAATTTTTTTTAAAATCCACATATTGAAATAATGTTTAATACTTCCGCTGCTAACTACGGAGATCTTCGTTTTTCTTATCTTGCTCCAGCTGGCTAAGTACGGAAACCTACGTTTTTTGCATACCGCTGTTATGAGTGTCCCATTGTGCCATCTATCGTAAAATCACAAAGGACAATGCTTCAAAAGATATCATGTGTATACCCATTACTAATCTGGTAAGTCATTCCCAGGTATATCCATGAAAATGGAATGCTGTAAAACACACTGGTGCCAGTTTTGTGTGTAATAAAATATGTAGGTTGAAATTTGGCATTTTCTTTAAAAATGGCTGGCCGGATGGGGGCAGCACTGGGTAAATGAGTAGCAGTGAAAGTGTTAATTATTTTAAAGTTTAAATCGAAGTCCAACTAGTGTCTGAAATATGCCAACAGGAGAATGCCTTGGTTATGTATTTAAATGACTTTAGGAATGGCACCACTGAAACCAATAGTGTGACCGAGATATATAGATACCACCTTCATACTCTGACCTTGCAAGAAAGCCTTACAAATACTGCTGGACCATGAGATCTAAATAAGAACTTTGATCCAGTTCACAACTACTACATTTAAAATTTAAAGTTAGCTTGACTTTTACTTATCCCTAATCATCAGAAGCCTATTTATTACTATTTAGAAAGCTTTTTTTTGTAATAAAGCAGGGATATATTCCAGATGGAGGAAAGGATAAACATAAGGAAAAGATTAATCATTTCTGTATACAATAATGATACTCATGAAATAATATTTATTTTATAACAACAAAATTATTCTGTATAGGAATATGTGAAAAATCATTTTATTTTTTTGTGAAATAAACATATTGATATTATTATTATTATTATTATAATTATATTATTTTTGATGCAGTAATTATACATCTTTTATTTTTAAATTATGCTAATTTTTTATCATATACCACTCACAGAAACAAAATACAAAAATTTGATCATTATCATAATTTTGATTATGAACAAAGATTGTCATGTTATAATTCCACTTGTTTGATAGTCATCATATATGTTATGTCCTGCTAATACCTTGTAAATAATGAACTATTCCATTTTGATCTTTAGGAAGGATGGAAGACATATCAGGCACTGTTTGGTTTCAGTGAGTAAAAAAAAAAAAAAAAAAAAAAAGAGGGGAAAATAGAGTGTGAGATAACACTCATTTGCTTAACACCTGCTTCAGTGAAATTGAAAAACTAGTTTTTCAGTTTTAAATCTTTTCATTTGAACCCTCTTCCTTGAGAATTTGAAGCAGAAAACTGACCCTCACCATCCACTCCATGGCCGTGAAGCAAAGAGGCTCAAGTAAAGACATAGCTTTTTATACTCTAGCCGAACTACTGAACAACATAACTGCTAGTCAGCATCTGTCCCTGTGGTGCAGCCACCTTAACAACGTGGGACACAAGCTCTCTCTCAGCCCTACAGAATCCCTGCTCCTTGGCTTTAGTTATGCCTGCTTAAATCACTGCTAAACAGCTGTAGGTTGTTGTAGAGCCAACCATCAGAAATGGAGATATGCCACTGATGCTGATCCCAACTGCCAATGCGAACTATCACAAATTATGGAGCATCTACTTTGACCCAATCTTGAAGATCAATACACACTTAATGACCTTGAAACCTTAACATCACAAGCAAGGCTCTGTGTGCAACATTGGA